TGGCAGCTGAGAAGAGTATAGTCGTTGTAGGAGCCTCTCGTGGTGACCCTCGTGCCCCCGTCTTTGAGGGGTGCTCCCCCTCCCCCCTTTTGCCCTCTGTTGCCTCTGCTGCTGCCGTCGACTTCGTTGGCACCGAGTCGGTCGGCGCTACGTCTGCCCCTAGCGGGCGACGTTGCACCGGTAAGGGCAAGGGGGGTAAGGGCGCAGGAGGGGCTGGCGGGGGCGGTGGAGGTGGCCGTGGAGGCGGCAGAGGGGGTGGGGGTGGCGGTGGGAGTGGTGGCGGGGGTGGGTGCTTCGGTGGCGGCGGTGAAGGCGGAGGCGGCGGCGGCGGTGGCGGTGGGAGCGGAGGAGGAGGCGGTGGCGGCGGTGGCGGAGGTGGCGGCGGCGGAGGTGGAGCTGGTCGGGGTGGCTCTGCGCAGCGGGGCGGCTTCGGTGGTGGTCAGCGCCAGCAGCAGCAGCGCAATCGTGAGACCCCGCCCCCCCAGCAGCTTCTTGAGTGGTACGCTGCGCGTCAGCGGGGTGGGGGTGCGGGTCCTTGTGCCTACGTCCTGCGTACCGGCGACCGCACTGGTGAGCCGTGCGGTGGCCCGCACACCATTCAGCGCTGCTTCGACCGCCTGACGGACGCTTGGCGTCACCAGTTCCCTGACACCATTAAGATCCCTCGGTGGGGCGAACTGCTTAGGTCGGGGGTTGCTATCTTTGATCTTGATTATGATGCTATTCTTGCTGCCATGTATGTTGTGTCTACTAGTGATGAAGATGACTGTTACCTGTGTGTTCCGCCTGACCCGGGCATTGAGGCTGCTGCTCTAGGTGCTGGTGAGGCTGCTGCTCTAGGTGCTAGTGCGTCTGCTGCCGCAGGTACTGGTGCGTCTGCTCTCTCAGGTACCACGTCGGCTCAGGCCTTACACACCTTCACCCTTGACTCGGGTGCTTCCCGCTCCTTCTTTCGCGACCGCACCACGCTTACGCCGCTTAGTCGGCCAGTTGCGGTCTCCCTGGCGGACCCCTCTGGGGGTCCTGTCCTTGCCCACTTCTCCGCTGTCTTACCGTGTCCGGCAGCCCCCTCTGGCACCCTGTCAGGTCTCTACCTCCCCTCGTTCTCTACGAACTTGGTGAGTGGTGCTGATCTACAGGATGGGGGGTTTGACCAGTTCACTCCTGCGAGTCTGCGGGTGACCCACTGTACGTGTGCTCGGACGGGCCGACACTTGGCCACGTTTACCCGTCAGCCGGGGTCGAGCCTGTACACACTAACTACTGAGTCTCCTCCGGTTGTTGAGTCTGGTCAGGTAGCTGCGTCGGGTCAGGTGTTTGCTGCAGCGTCCAGGTCTGGTCCTGAGTCTGCTCCCTGCTCGTGTCGTCTCCTGTCCCACCAGACTCTCCTCTGGCACCACCGCCTTGGTCACCCCTCCGTGCCTCGTCTCCGAGGCATGGCCTCCCGTTACCTTGTCTCTGGTCTCCCCCGGTCCCTCCCTCCCCTCCCTCCGGGGCCTGCCCCTACCTGCGTTCCCTGCGTCGAGGGGCGGCAGCGCATCGCCCCTCACTCCTCCGAGTTTCCTCCGACAGAGGCTCCGTTGTAGACTCTTCACATGGATGTGTGGGGGCCCGCCCGCGTCCGTGGCCAGAGTCACGAGCGTTACTTCCTATTGGTTGTTGACGACTACTCGCGTTACACCAAGGGTGACGTCGCTGTGGTGTTGATCGACTGGATCCGCACAGCTCGTTTCCAGCTCAGAGAGAGTTTCGGCTCGGACTTTCCTGTTCTGCGTCTGCACTGGGACAGAGGCGGGGAGTTTTCCTCTGCCCTTCAGGGAGCCTTCTGTCGTGCACAGGGCATCCGCCAGACCTTTACGCTTCCGACCTCTCCACAGCAAAATGGGATTGCTGAGCGCCGCATTGGCATGGTCATGGACGTCGCTCGTACGTCCATGATCCATGCGGCTGCTCCCCATTTCCTGTGGCCGTTTGCGGTTCAGTACGCAGCGCATCAGATCAACCTTCAGCCTCGGGTCTCCTTGCCAGAGACCTCCCCCACCTTGCGGTGGACGGGGAAGGTTGGCGATGCGTCTGCGTTTCGTGTCTGGGGATCTCGGGCGTTTGTCCGCGACTTGTCTGCGGACAAGCTGTCCCCCCGTGCTGTTCCCTGCGTCTTCCTTGGCTTCCCCCCTGACGCGCCTGGTTGGCAGTTTTACCACCCCACCTCGCGCCGTGTTCTGTCCTCCCAGGACGTCACCTTTGACGAGTCGGTGCCTTACTACCATCTCTTCCCCTACCGCACTGCGCCCCTCCCCCCGCCGCCGCTCTTCCTTGCGCCAGGTCCCCCCCCGATAGACCCTCTCCCCCCTCAGGGTCATGCCCCGTCAGGTGTGTCCCAGGTAGACGCAGTCGAGCCTGTCAAGGTAGCTGTTGACTCTGTTGCTGCTAGGGGTGCTGAGCCTGGGGGTGCTGAGTCTCGGGGTGCTGAGGCTGGGGGTGCTGAGCCTGGGGGTGCGGAGCCTGGCGGTGCGGAGCCTGGAGGTGCTGAGCATGGGGGTGCGGAGCCTGGGGGTACGGAGCCTGGGGGTGCTGAGCCTGGGGGTGCGGAGCCTGGGGGTGCTGGGTCTGCTCGTGTGGCCTCTGGCGGTGTTGGGTTTGGAGGCCCTTCGGGTGCTCTGTCGAGGCGGGAGCTACCCTCTCCACAGGAGCTGCGCGAGTGGTTTGCCCGGCGCTGGAACCGTGCTGCTGGAGCTGGAGTTGCTACTGTTGCTGCTGACCCTGGGGTCGGCACTGGAGTTACTGGAGCCACTAGATGTGGAGGTGCTCGTACTGGAAGTACTCGAGCTGCTGGGACTGGAGGTGCTGCTGGGGCTGCTGGAGTTGATCCTGCTTGAGGTAATGCTGGAACTGCTGGCGGTACTAGAGCTGACGGTCCTGCTGGAGTTGGTGCTTCTAGAGCTGCTGGAGCTTGAGCTGCTGGAGCTAAAGCTGTTGGGGGTGTTGGCGCTGGAGGTGCTGCTGGCGCTGGTGCTTCTGAGGGTGCTGGAGTTGGCGCTGTTGGAGCTGGAGGTACTGCTGGCGCTGGTGCTGCCGCAGGGGGTGCTGGTGCTGTCCCTGCTGGTTCTAGAGACGCTGCGCGGTCGCGGCCGTACTTCGTTCCGCTCCTTGAGCAGGTTCTTTGTCTCCCGCCCTCTACTGGTCTTGCTCCTCCCTTAGAGTGTCCACAGCCTGTCCAGTCGCGGTCACAGTTACAGCCCGCCTCCCCCCTGCCTGCTCCTTCTCCCTACACTGGTCCTACTGGAGGTCTTGCTGAGCGTCGTGAGCCTGCGTCTCGTCCTGCGTCGCCTGTTCGTGCTGCTCGCACTAGTAGTAGTGGTGCGCTTCCGCATCCTCATGCGGTCCCAGGCACGCACCAGATGGCACCGCGTCCTTCCACTGCTCCTCTGCGTGTCCCGTTGCCATCTCCTCCAGAGTCCTCTCTTCTTGTTCTTGCTGACCCGGAGTCTGACTCTCTTCGTGCTGCCAGTCCTATTGCCACGCGTCTCCTGGCTACTGTTGTCACTGACCCTTCCTTTGAGTCCACTGCTGCGTCTGCCTTAGTTGCTGAGCTTGTCGACTTTGCTGCTCGCTGTCGTCTAGACTACGCCGCTAGTCTCGTTGCTGAGTCTGAGTCTGTCTGTCCTCCGTCCGTCGGGGGTGAGTGTGCTCTTAGCACAGACGTCCTTGAGGACAAGCAGGAGGAGTGTCAGAACATATAGCTTTTGCATATTGTGTAGGCTATAGTGGGGTAGCCCACAAGGGGTACAACCCAATTAGGGTTAGTACTTGTACTCAGTTCATTTATAGTTCATTCATTCTCGTTCTCATTTTCTCATGGTATCGAGCAGGTTCCCCTGTGGGAACTGTGCCTTTGGCCCACCAAATTTCGATTTTTTTTTTTACCTGCCCGAAGCGCGCTCCGCCTGAATCGCGCTCTCACCTCGTCGATCCGCCCTAGCGGCCCCTACGCCCTAGCGGCCCTCCCTACCTTAGCGGCCCCGTCGCCCGTTCGTGCGGCCCCGCCACCTACTAGCGTGGCCCCGCCACCCGCATTCGCGGCCCCGCCGCCCTACGTCACGACCCTGCCGCCCTAACTGCGGCCTCGCCGCCCTACTCCTGCAGCCCCGCCGCCCTACTTCGCGGCCCCGCCGCCCTACGTCGCGGCCCTGCCGCCCTACTCTACGGCCTCGCCGCCCTACTCCTGCGGCCCTGCCGCCCTACTTCACGGGCCCCGCCACCCTGTTCAGCGGCCCCGCCGCCCCACTCCGCGGCCCCGCCGCCCCACCTCGCGGCCCTGCCGCCCTGCTTCAGCGGCCCCGCCGCCCGTCTGCTGCGGCCCCGCCGCCCCACTTCGCGGCCCCGCCGCCCTTCTTTAGCGGCCCCGCCGCCCGTCTGCTGCGGCCCCGCCGCCCCACTTCGCGGCCCCGCCGCCCCACCTCGCGGCCCCGCCGCCCTACTTCAACGGGCCCCGCCGCCCTACTTCAGCGGCCCAGCCGCCCTACGTCTGCGGCCCCGCCGCCCGTCTGCTGCGGCCCCGTCGCCCTACACCTGCGGCCCCGCCGCCCTACTTCAAGAGCCCCGCCGCCCTACTTCAAGGGCCCCGCCGCCCTACTTCAAGGGCCCCGCCGCCCTACTTCACCGGCCCCGCCGCCCTACGTCAACGGGCCCCGCCGCCCGTCTGCTCTGGCCCCGCCGCTCTCCCCTCCTGCAGCAACGCGCCCGAGCCGCCGACCGCCGCGCCGCCCTGTACCAGAGGAGCCGAGCCGCCCTGCCGCCAAGCCGCCCGGCCGCCCACCAGCCGAGCCGCCCAGCAGCCGAGCCGCCCCGCAGCCGAGCCGCCGAGCCGCCCAGCAGGCGAGCCGCCCAGCCGCCGAGCCGCCCTACAGTTGAGCCGCCCGAGCAGCCCTGTCCGGTGAGCACAGCCTCTCTAACACTGCGTGCCCTTCCCCTACTGCTTGCACTGCTAGTCTACCGTCGTCATGGCTACCCCTAGTGTCCTCGCTTTTAACGCTGAGGGTCGAGCCATTGACTTTGAGGTCTGGGTCGACGACCTGCAGCTATTCTTACAGTGCGATAGGGCGGACGGTCTTTCTCTCTTTGACCACACCTCTGGCGCCTCTCCTGCCCCTGCTGCTGATGCTGACCCCACTGTTTGCTCTCAGTGGGCCACCCGCGATGCTGCTGCACGTCTTGCTGTGCGTCGCCACCTGCCTACCACTAAGCGCGCGCACTTTAGTCAGTACAAGAGTGCTCAGACCTTGTACGACGCTGTAGTTGCGCGCTACTCTTCCCCTGCCACTGCTGCACTGAGCCGCCTCATGCTACCGTACCTCTTCACTGACCTTGCTGCATTTCCCACAGTTGCCGACCTCATTACGCACCTCCGCACAAGTGACACTCGCTACCGCGCCGCGCTGCCTGCTGAGTTCTGCGCCAAGAACCCCCCCCCCATGTACATCGCTCTCTATTACATAGTCACCCGCCTCCCTTACTCCCTTCGCGTAGTCAGGGACCACTTTCTCTCAGTCTGTCCCACCACTCTCACTGTTGACCTCCTAGAGAAGGCCCTCCTAGCAGCGGAGAAGAGCATAGTTGCTGTAGGAGCCTCTCGTGGTGACCCTCGCACCCCCATCTTTGAGGGGTGTTCCCCTTCCCCCCTGTTGCCCTCTGTCGCCTCTGCTGCTGCGGCCGACCTACTTGGTCTTGAGTCAGTCGGTGCGGCGTCTGCCCCTAGCGGGAGACGCCGCTCTGGCAAGGGCAAGGGGGGCAAGGGCGCGGGTGGAGCTAGTGGGGGTGGTGGAGGTGGCGGTGGAGGCGGCGGAGGGAGTGGGGGTGGCGGTGGGAGTGGTGGCGGAGGTGGTGGTGGTGGTGGCGGCAGTGGAGGCGGAGGCGGCGGCGGCGGCAGCGGTGGGAGCGGAGGTGGCGGTGGTGGCGGCGGTGGAGGCGGCGGTGACCGAGGAGGTGGAGCTGGTCGGGGTGGTGCCTCGCAGCGGAGCGGCTTTGGTGGTGGTCAGCGCCATCAGCAGCAGCAGCAGCGTTCTCGGGACATCCCCCCTCCTCAGCAGCTCCGTGAGTGGTACACGCAGCGTCAGCGTGGTGGGGGTTTTGGTCCGTGCACCTACGTCCTTCGCTCCGGCGACCGCGCGGGTGAGCAGTGTGGGGGAGCCCACCCCACCCAGCGCTGCTTTGGCCGCCTGACGGACGCTTGGCGTCAGCAGTTCCCCGAGGCTAGAAAGATCCCCCGCTGGGGAGAGCTGTCTAGGGCAGGCGTAGCTATCTATGATCTTGACTTTGATGCTATCCTTGCTGCCATGTCTGCTGTGACTATTAGTGATGAGGGTGACTGTTACCGGTGTTTCCTGCCCGTCCCGGGCATAGGTACTGCTGCGCTAGGTGCTTGTGAGGCTGCGTTCTCAAGTACTGGTGAGGCTGCGCTCTCAGGTACCGCGCCGGCTTCGGCCACCCTCACCTTCACGCTTGACTCGTGGGCTTCTCGCTCCTTCTTTCGAGACCGCACCACACTCACGCCGCTTGGTCGGCCGGTTGCAGTCTCCCTGGCTAACCCCTCTGGGGGTCCTGTCCTCTCTCACTTCTCCACAGTCCTCCCGTGTGCGGCTGCCCCCTCGGGCACCTAGTCTGGTCTGTACCTCCCCTCGTTCTCGACAAACTTGGTGAGTGGAGCTGACCTGCATGATGCGGGGGTTCACCAGTTCACTCCTGCGAGTCAGCGGGTGACCCACTGCTCGGATGCTTGCACAGGCCGACACCTGGCCACGTTTTCACGCAGGCCGGGGTCGAGTCTCTACACCCTGACCACTGCGTCTCCTCCTGTCTCTGCGTCTGGCCAGGTAGCTGCGTTAGGTCAGGTGTTTGCTGCTGCGTCCAGGTCTGGTCCTGAGTCTGCCCCCTGCTCGTGTCGCCTCCTGTCTCACGAGACTCTCCTGTGGCACCACCGTCTTGGTCACCCCTCCCTGCCTCGTCTTCGGGGCATGGCCTCCCGTGTCCTTGTATCTGGTCTCCCCCAGTCCCTCCCTCCCCTTCCTTCGGGGCCTGGTCCTTCCTGTGTCCCCTGTGTCGAGGGGCGGCTCCGGGCTGCCCCTCACTCCTCTCAGTTTCCCCCGACAGAGGCTCCGCTGCAGACGCTCACCTACCTGCAAGAACGTTCAGAGGTGAGCGGTCAAGTACTGGTGAGGCTGCGCTCACCTACCTGCTGACCGACCTTGGAGAGTCGCCTCGTTCTCCTCCAGTGCTGTACATAGACAACAAGGCCATGCTGGCCTTGTGTCGTGAGCAGCGCCTGGAGCACAGAACGAAGCACATTGCTCTCCGCTACTTTCTTGCTCGTGAGCTGCAGCAGCGTGGTCAGTTGCGACTTGCGTACGTGGCCTTTGAGGCCAACACTGCTGATGTTTTCACCAAGGCACTTCCGCCTTGTGATCATTTGCGCTTCTGCACTCAGCTGGGACTTGTCCCAGTCTTGCCTCACTTGCTCACCTCTTGACCTTGCTTGTACTCTTGCATATATATATATATATACGTGCTCTTGCTTGTTTAGCCTTATATATATATGTCTACCCCTGCATGTGAACTGGCCTTGTGGCCTTGACCTTGTGCTCGGACTGTGTGGTGACTTTGTGATCCACCCTGAGCTTGCTTTGCTTTGCTTTGCTTGACTGGTCTTGTGACCCCTTGTTCTCCCCCACTTTGCCTATGGGGGTGTGTCAGAACATATAGCTTTTGCATATTGTGTAGGCTATAGTGGGGTAGCCCACAAGGGGTACAACCCAATTAGGGTTAGTACTTGTACTCAGTTCATTCATAGTTCATTCATTCTCGTTCTCATTTTCTCAAGGAGTTCCACTGTTTTGCTGTTGCTTTGCCTCATCTCGTGTCCATGCTGATTGCCCCTGAGGGAGACCCGGATGCACCAGACATCCCGACTGCTCGATCGTACGCTGAGGCGATTGAGGGTCCTTACTCCTCACTGTGGCAGTCATCCATGGACGCAGAGATGGCTTCTTGGAAGTCCACAGGCACCTACGTCGACGATGTTCCCCCACCTGGGGCGAACATCGCCAGTGGCATGTGGATTTTCAGGGTGAAGCGGTCGCCGGGTTCTCCGTCTTTCTTCAAGGCGCGTTACGTGGCTCGAGGCTTCAGTCACCGGCAGGGAGCTGACTACTTTCAGACCTTCTCTCCCACCCCGAAGATGACCAATCTTTGGGTGCTGCTGCACATAGCCGCTCAGCGCGACTACGAGCTTCACTCTCTTGACTTCAGCACAGCTTTCCTACAGGGCAGCCTGCACGAGGAGATCTAGCTGCGCCGCCCACCTGGCTTCACTGGGTCGTTTCCTCTTGGTACCCAGTGGAGCCTCCGGCGGCCAGTCTACGGTCTCCGCCAGGCGCCCCGTGAGTGGCACGACACACTGAGGACTACACTTGCGGCTCTTGGCTTTGCTGCTTCTACTGCCGACCCGTCGTTGTTTCTGCGCAACGACACCTCTTTGCCGCCGTTCTACATCCTCGTGTACGTCGACGACTTGGTCTTCGCCACTGCTGACACTGCTCAACTTGCCCACGTGCTGAACGTTCAGTGGTCCGCCGCGAGTCTTGTTGCGGTCTCGTGAGCTGCAGTAGCGTGGTCAGCTGCGCCTTGCTTACGTGGCCTCTTAGGCCAACACTGCTGATATCTTTACCAAGGCACTTCAGCCTTGTGATCATCAGCCCTTTTGTACGATGCTAGGTCTTGTGCCTACTTGGCCTCACTTGCTCACTTCTTGACCTTGCTTGTACTGTGATCTATCTATACATGCATTTGCTTGTTTACCTTTATATATAATCCTGCATGTGAACTGGCCTTGTGGCCTTGAACTTGTGCTCGGAATGTGTGGTGACGTTGTGATCCACCCTGAGCTTGCCTTGCTTGACTGGTCTTGTGACCCCTTTTTCTCCCCCACTTTGCCTATGGGGGTGTGTCAAACATTTATGCTATAGTCTTTCTAGGCTGTAGTGGGGCAGACAGTATGGGGTACAGTTTTCTAGGGTTACATATTTGTACCCAACTCATTTCCTAGTCCATCATTCCTCGTTATTTTCACACTTGTTTCATACACCTGACTCAACACTCTTAACTTCCGACTTCACCTAGGGGGTAAGAGGATTTTTCCGAGGCTTGTATAACTTCTCTTGAGCCTAGGCTTGTATAATTTTCACCTCTAAGCCTTTGTAGTTGTGTAGGTTTCACCTGTGGACAATGGGGAGCCTTAACACGGTGCTGCGGGGGTATAATATTTACTCCATGGAACGCACGACCCTTTTCTGTGCTCCGTGGTACTTTGTCCAACTTCTCAGGTACCTGAATAACTTTTAAAGGCCTTTTCTTGGCCTTTAATTCTTCCTTGATTTTTTAAAAGGCTTGAATATCATGAGAATTAATATTCTTGGTTAAAGAATATTTATAAGATAACTATGACGAATTCTTACTTTCGTGTGTGTTCGGCTAGAACTTCCCGGTCTGTGCAGAGTCTTCTTTTGCGATCCCTCCTTTTTTTTTCTCGGCAAATTTCCCCGGTGCCGGTCGATTGTGACGTTTTAAATTTGCGCCATCATTTTCTCCTTTTTTTTGCCCGCTCCAAAGTCGCCACGTCGTCGCCTTTTTTTTTCCGATCTTTTCGCAATCGCCAGTTCGACCCCTGGCTACTGTCGATTCCTTTTTTTTTTACTTCGAGGATGCTGCACTATTGCGTGAAATGTAAGTGTCGCCGCTGCCACCGCTGCCGTTGCCGCTGCATTCGCTGATGCTGTGGCGGCCGCCGACTAGTTCGCGAGGAGCGCTTCAATTCGCTGGAGTGCTGCCTGCGTCTGATCTATCTCCATGCGAAGGGTTCCGGCTTGGGTGACGAAATTGTCGCCTACACCCTCCATTCCGGACATCGTGCGTCCGAACAAACGAAAACGAGAGGGGGGTGGAAAACACGGAACCGATTTTACGTACCCGAAATCGGTGTTTACAGTTCCTCGTGTTGGGTGCAAAACTTATTTTGCACGTCAACATGTCGCCTATTCGTCGAGCGATGTGAAATTTGAAGGTATCTGTTTTAAGGTATTTTATGTGGTATCGCATTTGTTTACTGATCATTTTGGCATTTACGGTTCGTGAATCGCCTTAGCGGTTCATGAGCTATGTGCATTTTAGTGTGAGGTTGCATTCATTTGTTTTCATGATTGTTCGTGTGAATTTCGTGTTGTTCGTGTTGCGTCATGAATGTGCGTGAAGTTCCGAGTGTTCATGTAGAGAGATTTTCTCCAGACCCGGAAACGGTGATTTGCCGTTGCACACGTAGGCTCAATTTGCTACCGTAGTCGGACAATTTGATGATAATTGCTCGAGTGGTCTTGCCAGAGGTTTCCTCTGGCTTTTTTTTTATCCGGCACATTACCCAAAACCGGTTTTTAGCCGTGCTTTTCTCACGTCGTTCGTAACTCTTCCCGCAAAAACGTGGCGTGTGTTTTTCCGCCCGATTTTTTCGGCTGGGTGACGTGCGCGAGAGCGGCCACGTCATCGTTCGAATACACGACAATAATCAACACGATCATGTTCGGCGAACAGTCGCGCTCATTTTCGGTCCAATGATTGACCAATCCGCGCATAGAGATATGAATCCCCGATCATATACTCAATCGCACGACTGTCCACACGCGCGACCAATTACAGAGCGCGTGTGATTGGTCGACTCTATGCGCGGGCCCTTTTCTGATCTTGTGCGTCCAATCAGGCGCGCTTGTCAGATTATCATAGTTGATGCATGTTTGTAGGCTATAGTGGGGTAGCACATATGGGGTACAGCTTTCTAGGGTTGTATTTGTACCCAATTCTGACTTAGTCATTCTCATTCCTGTTCACTTGTTTCACATGGTATAGAGCGGGTCCTTCCTTAGGACCGTTTTTTTAGGGCCCACCGAAGCGCGCCCCGAGGCGCGCCTTTTTTTTAGCGACCCCTCGGGTCGCCATTTCCCTCGCGGCCCCGCTGTCCCTCAGACGCGGCCCCGCCACCCCTCCTGATCGCGGCCCCGCCGCCAGCTTCGTCGCGGCCCCGCCGCCTGCTTGACGCGGCCCCGCCGCCTCCACTGACGCGGCCCCGCTCCGCCGGCTCTGACGCGGCCCTGCCGCCCGCTTCGTCGCGGCCACGCCGCCTCCCCTGACGCGGCCCCACCGCCGGCTCCGCCGCTGCACCCTACGGCCCGCCGCTGCACCCTACGGCCCGCCGCCTCACCTGACGGCCCCGCCGCTGCACCTGCCGGACCGCCGCTGCACCTGCCGGCCCGCCGCTGCACCTGCCGGCCCGCCGCTGCACCCAGCGGCCCGCCGCTTCACCTGACGGCCCCGCCGCTGCACCTGCCGGCCCGCCGCTGCACCCCACGGCCCGCCGCTGCACCCTACGGCCCGCCGCCCCACCTGGTCGGCCCGCCGCTGCACCCTACGGCCCCGCCACTGCACCTGCCGGCCCGCCGCTGCACCGGTCGACCCGCCGCTGCACCTGACGGCCCCGCCCCTGCATCTCCCGGCCGAGCCGCCACAGCAGCAGAGCCGCCCCAGCAGCCGAACCCCCCGGGAGCCGAGCCGCCCAACGCCGAGCCGCCCGGGACCCGAGCCGCCCTGCTGCCGAGCCGCCCGGGAGCCGAGCCGCCCTGCACCCGAGCCGCCCTGCCGCCGAGCCGCCCGGGAGCCGAGCCGCCCTGCGCCCGAGCCGCCCAGCCGCCGAGCCGCCCGGGAGCCGAGCCGCTGTGCACCCGAGCCGCCCGGTCGCTGAGCCGCCTTTCTGCATAGCTGCACGACCTGCCCTGCCTAGTGAGCACAGTCCCACTGACACTGCGAGCTCTTTCCCTACTGCTTGCACTGCGTCGCTGTCGTCGCCATGGCTACCCCTAGTGTCCTAGCTTTTGACGCTGAGGGTCGCGCCATTGATTTTGAGGTCTGGTTAGACGACCTGCAGCTGTTCTTACAGTGCGACAGGGCTGACGACCTTTCTCTCTTTGACCTCACCTCTGGCGCCTCTCCTGCTCCTGCTGCTGATGCTGATCCTACTGTCCGCTCTAAGTGGGCCAGCGGCGATGCTGCTGCACGTCTTGCTGTGCGTCGCCACCTCCCTACCTCTGAGCGTGTGCACTTTAGTCAGTACAAGAGTGCTCAGACCTTGTACGACGCTGTAGTTGCGCGCTACTCCTCCCCTGCCACTGCTGCACTGAGCCGTCTCATGCTTCCCTACCTCTTTCCTGACCTCTCTGCCTTTCCCAGTGTCGCTGACCTCATTACGCACCTCCGCACTAGTGACACTCGCTACCGCGCCGCCCTTCCTGCTGAGTTCTGCGCTAAGAACCCCCCCCCCATGTACATCGCTCTCTACTACGTAGTCGCGCGCCTCCCTGACTCCCTTCGCGTCGTCAGGGACCACTTTCTCGCAATCTGTCCCACCACCCTCACCGTCGACCTCCTCGAGAAGGCCCTCCTCGCAGCGGAGAAGAGCATAGTCGCTGTAGGTGCTTCTCGTGGTGACCCTCGCACCCCCATCTTTGAGGGGTGCTCTCCTTCCCCCTTGCTGCCCTCTGTTGCCTCTGCTGCTGCTGCCGACCTGCTTGGTCTTGAGTCGGTCGGCGCGGCGTCTGCCCCTAGTGGGAGACGTCGCTCCAGCAAGGGCAAGGGGGGCAAGGGCGCGGGTGGAGCTGGAGGGGGCG